GGCAAAGCTCACTGATGATGCCGATTACGATGCCGGCGAAACGTTTGAGAATGTACCAAGTCCACTGTCTTATCCTGGGAATCATGACAACTACTACAGCAGACGACTTCGCACTAGGTGCAACAAGACCAAGTTGCGACAGTGAGGTCAGCCCACTTCTAAAATACAATTACTTACTACTTATTTTATCAGGATTTTTAAAAATCATTTGCTCAGACTGTTCCTCTTCATACCACAACTCTGCACAATCCCCAGAAAATCAATATCTTCCTATTATTACTCGCTTTTTTAGAAACGATCTGACACCAAAATTTCATTCCTGAGAAGGGTTGATATATCAGCATATATTAAACACTTAGTTTTGGCGTTTAGGTTTTCGGATTCCCGACATACAAAATAAAATATTTCTTATTAACATTGTAATTTGGCACATTTTATCCGTAACATTCTTAAAATAGTGAGTTATTTATAATTATTTTTGTAAAATGTTTGTAGTCTTGGTTTATTATGGGGAACACATTGTCGCATTTTGCTCTTGAATTCACGCTATAACAACATTTTTGTTTTCATTTCATTTCAAGGAATGTAAATCTTTCCCAGAGTTGTCGCCTGCCTACATTAGACACTTGCTTCTTCAGTTTAATTATTGCGTCGACATTATGCTTGCAACACACATCTTTGTAATCACTTATTGGAGATCAGGGATGTAGGCTCACAATCTGTTCACTCGATTGCAGTAAATTTCTACGATGCAACAAACTGACACTTAGGGAATATAGGCAAGGGCTAAGAAGATGTAGGCGTAACGGTATGTTAAAATGAACAGGTATTTTTGACTCAAATTGATATTTCTTCGGGAAATTGGTTGCAATCGAGTCGATAAATCAATATATTTAATAACAGCATTTTGGCCCACACGTAGCATATTTAATATTACTTATTATTAACTTGTTACTCCGACAGTTCACTCCACGACCGTTGGAAAAATATCCATTTCAAGCCAATATATTTTAGTTGCTTATTATGATCTCGTCATTCTTTGTATCTTACTGAGAGCATATCTCATCATAACATTTATTCGTCACACCAGTGTCTCTTAATCTTTGATTTTTATTTTCTCTATCGAGGACTATTTCGAGATCAATATTTCTGATTTTTTTATTTCCTCAGAGTTATTTTCTAAGCCATTTTAGGCAATATTTGAAATAATCAAGTTTGTTATATGTTTATTTTAATGTTTTGAGCTTGTGTTCCCTCTTCGCTATGCCCATTCAAAATATACTTTTTTTAATTTTTGCATCACCATTATGACATATACTAGCTTCTTCTGGCAAAAGTACATTACTCATTTCCTTTCATAATTCGAGTTAAATTTCTGTGTCGTTAATCATCCGTTTGACTATAATCTTCTACTTGAATTAAGCTTATTAACACACATTTTAGCCTTTATTCCATACAGACCTAGTGCTATAGTTTCAAGGTAGATTACCTCCTCTCTAAAAGCCATACCTAATAGTTACTAGTTAATAGGCTAGGAAATAGGAATTTGGTATACAAGAGTGTTGCAGGTAGAATTGAACTTTGTGCCTCCTCTTCAGTGTTCTATCTTCTTTTATCATCAGAATGAAATGGTTTTAACAAGCCTTAGATTCTTGCGATTGTGCAAACGGCCAAATTCTAAAAATAGTGACCATTATCATAATTCAATAATTTGTTCTTTAAGTCGTGAATATATTATTTGGTTTATTAACCATTTTTATTTCTTATTAACCGCGTTGGGTTAAATTTCTTGTGACTTCATTTCCCATTTTTATGGCCTTAGCCTTCCCACCATCTTTTGACTGGTCTTTTGATACGGTTTTTTAAACTTGCCTACATTTTCATGCAAATTTGGATTTAATCCCAATTGTAAATTCTTAGAGTATTAGCGAATGTCTTCTGATCATCCTCAGTCAGCATATCCCTCGATTTGATTAAAATTAACTTATGTAAATCAAATAGTTAAATCAGACTTTAGATGTACTTAGTTCTTATTACTCCATCTCCAATCTCTAATTTTATCTCTTTATTTAACCAAAACATAACTCCTTGCATGTAGATGAATCTAGCACTTAATCTGGTTCAGCAACCGGATACATCAACCTCTCCGCTTCCAACTTCCTGCTTCATCTCACCTATTTCCACGTCACGATACCATCCTCAATGTCCTAGTGCCCCGACCACTAGCACTGCTACAATGCCTTTTGTTGTCCCTATGCCAACGGCTTCACATGCCCTTACCATTTCCGGGCCAGGTCATCCTGCAATAGACATCGCTTCGCCGACTATGCCATTAGTAGCTAACATTCCAGGGAATACTCCCATGCTACATTCAGACGGAGGTGAGAGCAGTAATCTTCTTTGCCTCTTTCATGTGCCCTATTCCTGCTGCTTCCGCTATTATTGTTACCTTTTATTTGACCCTGCGGTCATTTATTCGTATCATAAAATCATTATTTGTTTTCATACAACTGCCACTTATTATCATCATTAGAGTTATTACTCGCATTTTGCTGGCTTTGTTACCTCTGTATTTTTTATGTGATTTTCAGCTCTAGTTCTTATTCCCTTGTGCTAATTCATATTAAATCTTGATAAATCTAAATCTAAAGGGTCTAAGAGGCCCTACCACTCGGATAAGGTTAATGAGCATCTCCACCAGGCTTCTATGCAGAAACTGAGTGAGACCTATGATACTGAACGGTATAAGTTGTTTAAGTTTTTATATATTAAGTCAAGGCTCCAGTGTGATCTAGCCAGGATCCTGTCTCTGAAAGATTTTCAAAAACTCCAGTCATAATCGAC